TGGCTACGCAGAGGAAGCACCTGGTGAAAGATTTCAACCCGCACATCACCTGCTACATCTGCAAGGGCTACCTCATCAAGCCCACCACGGTGACCGAGTGCCTCCATACGTGTAAGTAGCGCCTCGCGGAGCCGCGGTCCCGCGTGAGTAGCCCTGCCGTGGGATACTGCGTTTCCCTTTCCATCCTGCCCTGGTTGTTGTTTGCTTCCCAAGTGTTGCGTGGAATTCCGTGAGGAGTCTGCTGGGGTGTCCTGGTCACTAGGGCGACTGCCGTTTGGGTGGTCTGGGGAGCGTGTCCGCTCCGGCAGCGTGCGGAGAGGAGGCGGCCCTTTCGCCCAGGAGAGTGGCGATGGCCCTGGCTTCAGCCCAAACATACATCTAAACATGAACACATCTGTGCTCCCGTCCCCTGGCTGCCCAGAGCGAAGACGGTCAGGTTGGCTGTGGCATTTCCAGAGCCCAACCGGACTGCTCTGGGAATTGGAGCGTGTTTGTTGGCCGCGGGCATCGCGGCTGCACCGCCCTGGTCAGCGCTAGCGGAGAGCTCCGTGCCGCGCTGCTCCCCGTGCCCGGCGCGCTCGGAGGCACCGGGGCGGCTGCGTGCGGAGCATCTCTGGGCGAGGCGGGCTCTCAACAGGCTACTGAGGCTGCCCTGTGCCTGCTGCCTGGTGGAAATGATGCTGTTGCTTCCAAAACCCACGTGTGAATGATATTAAGCATACAAATGGTGCTGTCAAAATCAGCGGGCCTGCTCGCATGAGGTACGTTACTTATGCGCTTGAGTTTTTCAAATTTGTTACTGAACAGAAAATGGCTTGTTCAGAGAATTGGGAATTTGGCATTTTTCCAAATAAAATTTCAATTCCCCTAAAAGAAAAGTAGTGAAATTTTATAATTTCTGACAATTTCCCAAGATGTAAACCTTTGATAAAATTATTAAGAGCCTTATGCTAGCATTTCCTTCCATCTTTATGCAGTATTGCTCTGGTAGTGGCTGTCTTTACTGATAATTTTCAAATTCTGGTGTTATATCACTGGTATATCAAGAGCATGGAGAATTAAAACATATCAATCCTGTGTGTTATTTGCAGCACAATGATACTGTTTAGTGTTAAAACAATACTGTTTTTATTGTAGTGCTTTTTTTAATTGTCTTGAGTTGAATTTTTTTTGAAGTCTTTTATCAGCCAAGTGTTATGGCCTGTTGTTCTTCTGCTTTGGGTTATTTAGTAAAGGATTTTTTTAAGTTTAGGAGGAGATAAGTTAAGCAAAATGTTCCTATAACAACTTTAAATAGATTGAGAGAGAAGTAATTTGGAAGTGGACAAGTTCCAGCATACTTTATTTTTATGATTGAAGTTGAATAAACTGTAATAACTTTTTTAAAGGTTGGGGAGAGGCAAAAATGTTGTCATCACTCAGCTCAGACTTTGACTTACTTTTATTATGCTGTCCTTCAGTCTAGATAATTCATTTGTTTTTTTTTACTTTTCTCTACTTATAAAACAATAGTGGCAGAAGCAGCATTTTTCGTTTTTTCTCAACAGCATCCATTTCTCTTGCTCACTTGTCGGATGTGGGCTTCTTAGTGAGGAGCCAGACAACTCAATTACTGCCAACTCTGCAAGCAGCTTAGTGCAAGTGTTCACTGAGCTTCTGTACGGTTGCAGAAGCCTCTCCCCACAGAAACTGTCGCATAAATATGTCATTAACTAGAAATGCAGGAAACCAGGTGACTTTACATATATATGTATATATATAAAATGCTAGAAAGGAAAAGGAGAAAATTCAGATGTTGTACCAGTAATTGCCATAATTCAAAATAAAGTGATGCACAAGTTAACAAAATCTACAGATGTTAACAGTTTAAGAAGGAGAATATGTATATTAGGTAATGGGAACAGAGCTTTCTGCTCTGGAAGAAAGGAAACGTGAATGTTGATGTACATGATCTCTGGTGATCAGAGAAGAGCTCTTGTGCTTGATCGTAAGCAAAGGAGTTGGTGGTTAATTTCCTGTTTTCTGTACACTGAAGCAATTAAGTAGTGAAGTTCTGAGCTGAGGAATGTGTACCTTTTAAATAGGAAATGTTTCTCACGAGGGCTTTGGAAGAGTTGGATGTCGACTGGAGTCCAGCATTTCTTGTGAAGAATAAGAGCAACTTAGGTTCAGCAGTGCAAACTGTTTGTACTGTTTCTGTTTGGAGGGAAATGCTTATAATATTGCAAGAATAATTCTTCTGCACTCTTGTTAATTCATGTTGATTCTTTCAACAGAAGGATTTTTACTTTATGGACTGAGACCTCTTTTTCTAGTCTGCTTTGCACTCATCAAAGATGTTTAAGAAGTACTGGCTTAAGGGGGCTAGATGTGAGCTTAGGGGTATGTCCCATTGTCGGTTTCCTGAGTCACTTCATTTTTCAGCAGTGTGAACTTATAAAACTTGAAAAATAAACTTTCCTCAGGAATATTTTTTAGTATCCTAAAAATAAATGTGGTTGTTTATATGATCATGGAAATGTTGGCTGGAAGAGAGCTCCAGAGGTTTTCTAGGATGACCTTTTCTGTGGAACAGGTCTGTTGCAAGCCGTAGACCAGGTCAGCCATGGTTTGGTATAGTTGAGGCTTAAAAAAAATCCAGGAATGGAGATTGCACAACCTATCTGAGTAACCATTTCCAGTGCTTCCCTATCTGGTAGTGAAGAAGTTTTCTGGATGCTCTATTAAACCCCAGCTTGTCATCGTTGCTCCTTGTTAAACCGTTTCTGACTACCAAGAAGAGTTTGATTCTCTCTTCTCTAACTACCCTTCAACTGGTGTAGGCTGTTACTAGATAACCTCAGCCGTCTTATCAGCCTCAACCATGATCTCCTTTTGGGAAATCTCTGCTGATTATTCCTGATTACCTTATTGTCCATTACATATATGGAAATCGATTCCAAGGAGACATGATGATCTTAGGCAGGAGTTAGGATGGGCTGTTTGGCTATAGTTCCCTGGTTCCTTCTTTTTGTCTTTTTTAAATATAGTCATAGTCACCTTTTTCCAGTCATCAGGGACCTCCCATACTGACAATGGCATCTTTATCAGCGGCAGAAAGCAGCCTCATGTCACCATCAGCCAGCTCCCTTCCGCATAGTGAATCTTCTCCGGCTTATGGGAATGAAAACATCCTGCTTCTTTAAGTAGACCCTTACCTGCTGTTCTTTGGATTTTGGTTGTCCCTCTCCTTCCCAAATCTTGCTAGTATGCATGGAGATTTGGGAACAGGCTTTGCCTGTGAAGACCAGGGCAAAGAAAAAAGACATAGAGGACTTGAGAGCTTTCCATATAATCCATCCCTGAGTTGTCTCCCTCATTCATCAATGGACACATGTTTTCCCTGAACTACTTCAGTACTCTTCTAGCTACTAGTCTGCTTGTCCTTATATTCATTATTTTACTCACTAGTTTTAGTTTCATGAGTTTGACCTTCAGGTTTTGTCCCCAAGTGTCCTTTTGCTGCCTGTCCTTGTTTCCACTTGAATATGCCCTTTTTTTTACATATTCATTATGAATCTTTTGCACCAAGAAGTGCTTTTAAAGTAAGTTTAAGATGTTGGACAAGCTTCTCTGGTGGTAGATTGACAACTTGATGACACATACCAGATGACTTGTTACTTTTCAGTGCCATCACTGCAGTGGGTTTGATGTTCCACTAGCTGTGCATATCTTGTGAGCCCTCCTTCCTGCAGTGGGTCAAGGAGTGATTTATTTTGACTCTGAGGGAGGAGATCCTTGAGAAAAATTAGAGGCTAAACTGAGAATTTGCCCCCTGCTTAACTGATTAAACTTTCTCTTTTAGAATGATATATTCAAAAAAAAATGCAAGATGAGGTTTTAAGTTTATGTAGATATCTCATTAATCAGCATTTTAAAAGTATCCTCAGAAGATTCTTCCTACTGAGTGATATGTAGGTAGATGTACACAAGATAATGTGTAAGACACATGTACGTGTAAGGTGATGTGTAGTGCAGTCAATATGTAGTGTAGTGCAATATGTTATGATTGCCAGCAAATTGGGTATGTCACACAAGTACTCTTATCAGTTGTAAATCATTTTATGTGAGATTAACTTATACTAGGGCTTATCCAAGGTGACATAGCACAGCTAGGAAGGGTGGGACCTCATTTCATTGGTGTATAAACCAGATAATTTGGTAAACTGTGTGCAAACCTCTCTCTCTCGTTGTTTTGTTTTGTTTTCCCTCCCTCCCTACCCTGTATTTCACTCAATACTCTGTCTCCACCCCGTTCTCAGAAACTTCGCAGTGATAGCCTTTGGGAAATGGTCTCCTATGCATCCCTTATTGAGACTAGCACAGAATGATCATACCTGTCATATATGAAAATGCTAGTGTGGATTCCCCTCCTACTCAGAGTATTGTAGATCTTTATTCTTAAGTGCGAGGGGTTTTCTGTGCTTGACTTCCGTGTTGCTGTCAGTAAATTGCATGTGCTGTTTGACATACAAATCCTAATGACATCATAGCCTTGCATGACAAAAAACAGAAGTTGTTTTAGATTACTTTAGCATTGATTTATGTTTTTTTTTTTAATTATTTTTTTCCTTTATATTGTAAGATGACCTCATGTTCTGACCTAGCTCTACAGAGACTTGGTCCAGATCGGTGACTGTGAGGGCAGGGAATGAATCCGTTTAGGAGAGTATTCCTGGGATTCTTGGTTTCTTGTGATTCATATGTGTGTGTTCTACGCAGACCTTTTTTTTTTTTTTTTTTTTTTTTTTTTTTTTTTTTTTTTTTTTTTTTTTTTTTTTTTTTTCCCTTCTGCCTGGAGATTAAATTTTTTTTTTGTTGTTAGTCTCTTCCTTGAACCCTTGTGGTTTGCACAGGTGCTCTCTTCTCTCTAAAAAGGTCCAAAGAGGGCACCGAGGACTTTGGATTATATTTCAAACCATTTTTTAACTTACATTAAAGAAGATTTATCACGCAATATTTAGTATTCCTACTAAACATTAGTAAACTTGGGCGGTTTTGGGTGCCAATCACCAGGCTTTAAACAGACTAGTTAATTCTCCCATGGTGTAGTTCTGAACAGTAACTGTTCCAAAACTGTTCCAAGTATTGTCTGGGTATGAAGGAAAGACATAGCTTGGATGGGGTTTGTTTGTTTGTTTGTCTGTAGCTTGGAAAACAAGAAAAAAAAAAAAAAGGAAACTCCAAGCTCATATTATCTTTACAAGGCAGATCGATGAATCCTTCTTGAAGACAGTCGGATCAGCTTGGTGTCATCTCATCATAGACTTCAAGAAACTCTGTGATATATATGGAAAAAGGGGAAGGGCAGTGCCATCTGAAGGAGGCCAGTACAGGATTCCAGTTGCTTACAGGGGGGAAAAAAAACCACAACAAACCTGTGGTGCTGCTTCCAAGCCACTGGTAATCCCACTGAAGAGCTTTGTGGCAGTTTTCAGAGACTCTGTTGCTAAAATTTCCCCAATAAGAGAAGGCTTACTATAAAGTTTGTCTTCTCAAAAATGAAAGTTATCGGAACTCTCAATAATCAATGTTTATACCATTTTTTATGAAATTCTTATTTTTTATCAAACCTTCAAATTTTGCACCAGGTTACAAAAATTGAATCCAAAGCAGCTCCACCTAACTAGATACTTAAAAATAAAAACAAAACCAACCCCTTCTTTTATCAAAGGGGTTAGTAGAAGCGGAGCTCCGTTGTGCTTTCTGGTCTGTACTGAAATGTAGTTATGCCTGAACTCTTTTTCTGTGACGTCAAGTTAGAAAAGGTTTAGAATAACCCAGCCCCTTATGTTACTAATCTCAGTGGCTTTCGCCTGGATTTCCAGTCATAAATAATGACTGTTTATGATTTCATCGTCATAGTAGCAGCTATGACTTTTTTCATGCCCTCTAAATTAATATTTTTCAGCTAATGGAATTTCTGAGATAACAGATGATTCTTAACCCCGTGGTTCTCATCAGTATTGTCATCTCCCACCAATAATCTGTTCCGTTTCTCCTGACAGTCATCTCCATCTTCAGCTCATGATGGAAACCAGGATTATAAGATGTCAGATGTTGCAGATGAGGAGATCGATTGACAGTAGTGTGTTGCACGGATCCCTAGAGTTATAAAGAAGCTTAAACAGAACATGATTATTTTGATTCTCATTGAAGCCATCCAAGAAATGCTTATCCTCGGACTTTTGTATTTCAGCATTTTAGCTCCTTTGTTTTCTCTCTCTGTTTTCTAATATCTCTGTGCTTAAGAGCGTAATATTTTCTGCTTCAATAATATAGGAGAATAATGTTCCAGAAATGTCCTGTTTTTTTGATTAGTATGAAGAAAGAATCTCTTTCAGGGGATTTTTATTTTTCTGCAATGTGAATTGCTGCCATTCATTGCAAGATTTCCTTTTAAAGACCATCTTCTTTCTCTTAAAATCTGAGTTGCATAAAATAAATGTATGTGCAGTTTAAATGCTTAGATTTCTTACAGAGCTTACTGTAGGTATTGCTATCAATTAAAGAGCCTTCACTATCGTGGTTTTGTGCCATATTCTCAAAAGTTACTTCTGTTTTGCCCTCTTCGTAGTAGGATCTTTCTATGGTGGGTCATTCTTCATTTCTCAAGAAGATAAATAAACGACTTGATAACCAGAACTACATTACATACAATTTCAGAGGGAAATCTCACTATTTGATTTTACCTTTCTCATGCACATTTTCTTTCAGAATTTCATGTTAATTAGTGCTAATGCTGTTTGTTTCAAAATTCAAATGAAATGGCAAGTTACTCATCTGTCTAGAGGCTCATCTTTTTTTTGGATAGTCCTCCGCTCATAGTGCCAAAGAAGGGAAGACACAGTAATTACTGTTTGAAGATAAGAAAAATTGGGGTGAATATTAATTTGGTGGTTTGTTTAGCTTATCCAACTCCATCTGTGCTGATTGTAACCACTCGAATGCTGGTGGCTCCTTGTAACTAATTCAGGTTTGGGTGCTCATGGGGCCTCTCTTTTTTTTGTCAGTCCGTGTTTTCACTGAGTGTTACGTGTCCCTGCAAAGGTCTGACATTGGGACCTGGGGCTGCCTCTTGCCCTGTGAGTCTGACTCTCCTTGTGGCAACTCCTCATCTCAGGGGCTCAAGCTGCAGCCTGGGATCTGGCTACAGGAGAGAGGGTTTTTTAATTACTGAGTGCAATTGCAGTGTAAATGCAGCACCTCTGCCTCCCCAGGCCTGTGCATTTGAGATGGGGCTGAACTGCCGCGCTTGAACATGCTGGAGGATGTGATTAGGAGGCTGGACATTTATTTGAAGCAGTTTCATGACACTTTTTTTGTGAGGAATGTCTTCTTTTTATCTATTTACTTTACAGTCATACAAATCTTCAGCCATTCTAAGGCTAAGTGAATATAAAAAAATTTAATCTGTGGTATCCAAAGAAATGAATGCAATTAAAAAAAAACTATAAAAGATCTAGATGAAGACTTAAAAGAAAAAAAAGATCCCACTCTTTATTTAATCTTGGCATAGCTAGTTGAAATGAGAAATGCCTCATCCAGCCACTGCACGAATGTAAGAAAATGCAAGTGGTGATTGATGTTCTTGGAGGGGTGATTTTGTACATGTCTTACAGTCTGCTCCTCTTCTCTGTTCCATTGTTCTGTGTATGTGGCTCGGTTTTGATTAGTGAAGGAATTAAAGGATGTCTCCAATTGCTGCTTGCACTTTATTTCTCAGCAGGGTAACAGAAGCAAAGACAGGTCAGAAACTGAGGGGAGCTAAGATAGCTAAGGAAGGGAATTGTTCATCAGCTGAATAATTTCACTTAATTATGTTTGGCCATGGTTGCACTTGTGTACATATGAAGTCTTTGAAGTATTTCACCCAGGAATTTTAATGTATTTTCATTTTCAAAGATAACTTTTTTTTGGTTGTATTGGAGATTCTCAGTCTTATTAGCAAAGAAAGATTACAGAAGTCTTAACAACCTATGTTTTAAGAGTTATTGGGGCTTATACTCCAAGTTAAGTATGTTCTTACGTGCTGCAGTGAGTCATGGGTGCTTGTGTGAGTCGAAGTTCTGTGTGTTCCGAGTCTAATACATGATTCACACAAAGTCTAAGGCAACCAGGTGTAAAATATTGCTCTGCCACCACTACAGCGACATAGAGTTGTGCAGAAAAGAAGCCCTGTTGGGCAGGGATTGGGGCTCTGCCGGCCTCGCTGCAGCAGGATGCCGGGAGGCCGGCGGGCGGCCGCGCTCGCTCCCGTGGCTGCCAAAACTGCAAACTTGGGGGTGTTAGTTTTAAACCATATGGGAAAAAGGTGCCTGATGTATGTGTGTCACCAGGCAGCTGGTACCAGCCTCAGCTGGCTCCTTCTGACCCTCCGAGCTCTCCAAGGCAAACATGAGAGTAGGCTTGGCATGTTAGGGGGCATTCGTTAAAATGATGGATTTTTTAGAGGTTTCAAGATTGCCATATGATTAAGGTTTACCAATTTGCTTTAGGAGTACTCCTAAGTTTTTGGATTATTGATGAGAGAAATGATAAAGCAGTGCTTCCACAGAAGCACTTGCTGCAGTTCCCTTTACTGCTTCAGCCCGGGTACTGTTGTATTTGTAGGTGTCATTTCAGTTTGGGCCAAGCAGTAACAGTCAGAGAAGGGATCTTGTCTCCAGCCAGAGTGTTGTAGTAACACACACACGCACGCACGCACGTGCGTAGTATATTTGTAATGGCAAATACATTTTTTCTCATTGCCTGGGCTCCATTTTCTTACTGAAGAAGTAAAATATGCTGTCTGCAATTCATCATTTGGAAGCAGCAGCATGTTTGCTGTTATTTCTGTTACTACTTTGAAGGCATTACGTCCAAAGAGAAACAACCATTTTGAAACTATGTACAGATTTGTGAGCTTTTCTCTCCTAGTAAGTGTTCACAATAGTATTTTCAGTTGTGAGCCAGGCTGAAGGAAAGAAAATAATGTGCACAGGTCATGTGCAACTTACCTGAAGTAGTGAAAGGCCCCTGGTGGTCTAGGACGCCCCAGCACACCTCTCCGAAGCTGTTGCTCCCTAAGCTGCATGGTGTGGTTGTTGCATTGTACAGTGCTGAGAGAATTGTAAAATAATAAAAATACTGTATTCTATAAAGCAATGTTTGTCTAACCTGTTCTGCTGCACTTCTTGCTCCTGAACTGAGTACTCTGTCTCCGCAGAGCAGAACTAGCTATGACTTTACATAACAAGAAGTGGATAGGGTAGAGATGGTATATTGTCATTATTTGCTTTAGACTAATATTCTTTTATGTTTGCATAAGGTAGTTAGCTGGTAGCAGCAGTAGGCTCTGTGCAGTCAGTAATATTTAGATCTTAATCGGAGTTATCCACTTTTGTTTTCTGTCCTTCAGTTTGTAAGACGTGTATTGTTCAGCACTTTGAAGACAGCAATGACTGTCCCAGGTGTGGCAACCAAGTTCATGAGACCAACCCACTAGAAATGTTACGGTAAGATGTATTAAATCACATTTGTAAAGTGCTTGGGAGAAAAACCATTGAGATGGTTGTAATTCAACTTTGTTCTTATTTGGGTTTTTGGGTTGGCCAAGACCAGAAAGACTTGCTGGAAGAGATGTGTGTTTGTGAGTTTACAATCTGAAGCCCTAAATATTGTATCAGTTACTCAGTTACCCTCATCTGCACGTTGGTTTGTGTCTCCACTGAAAATAGCAACTTGCTTTTATTGACCTGGATTTCAAGTATTAGCTTACTTTAATCTGCAAGCTGCAGTTCAGGGTACCTAAATATGGAGCCTTCTTTTAATTTATATCTATCAGTGGAAGCAGTTTGATACCTACAGACTTGCTAGGCACGCTCACCGAAATTTACAGCAAAACCAGCATCTTTTCATAAGGGCTCAGGCAAGTAACTTAGTACCAGTCTTCAATTACAAATAGTTTGCATATTGAAACAAAATACATATTTGAAATTAGCTGCTCTGTTGTAAAACTTGCCTGTGCAATTTGTGTCGAATTTATGCTAAGGCTGCAGTCTTTATACATGATCTGTTCTTGGAATGGTTAGGATTTTCTTAAACTTTTTCTCTTTTAATCCTTTTGTTTTGGTCTTTAGAAATAAACCAGGTATTTATTTCTTATTTTAAAGGAAATGCATGCAAGAGGTGGTTGCAATAAGTCTTTATCTTGTGTTTTCTGTCTTTTGAGCCATAAAATCAATTGGTTTATGCATGATGCATTATTTATCAGAAATGTTGTGCAATTCATTTTATTATTCAGGAGTTCTTATTCTTTAAAGGTTAGAAGTATTTTAAATACTGTTTCCTACCTAATCTGAGTGTATTTTTCCTTTAAAAGGCTGGATAATACCTTAGAGGAAATTATATTTAAGTTGGTGCCCGGACTTCGAGAACGTAAGTTTCTGATTTGTTTTCAGAACTTACTTGGGTTAATGGAGGGAAGTATGGCTATTTCTAGTAAGCTTCTAGTGTTGATTAAGAGATTCACATTCATCTTCTTTGATGTTAACTAGAGGAACTGCAGCGAGAGATCGAATTTTGGAAAAAAAACAAGCCTCAAGAGAATGGACAAGGTGATGATTTCTTTTTTTCCTCCCCCTCTCTTGCATGCTAGGTAAAACAGCTCCTCTGTAAGATCTGGTTCTACAAACACTTCTGCATATACGATATTTATGCTGAATTTAGTAATACTCCCAAAGCTCTTAACATACCTGTGTAAATGTAACCTGGGCCAATGTAAATATAATCTGTTCGTTTACAAACACTACTTTTTTTTCATTTTTCATTTCTCAAAGCTCTCGCGTTCATCAGTCTTTCCATATCCTGTTTGAATTCTTAATGTTACATGGTTTTTTTAACTGATACTAACAATCCATTGTACTGTAGGATGTAGAACTATTTGAATCGTTTTCATGTATTATTTTCTGTTATCAAATTTGACCAGCTGTTAAGTAGGAGGTTGTTAAGAATTAGTTATGACAAGTAGTAAAACAGTTTAGGTATTATAGTACTTAAATGTAATAAAAAAAAATACATAAACACTTCCTTTTTTTATGTAAAAGTTACATAAACAGTTATTACATTATTATTACATTAGTTATGACAACGGTAAAACAATACACATGCTAAGCAGTTGTTTTATATAGATTCCAAAAGACTTTTTTTCTTTTTGTAGTTGATCTGTGAACTCGGAGCTCTTCACTGAGCTGATAAAAAGGGCTGTGTCCAAATCTTATGCCCCCTAGTTTAAGAGTTTGGATGCTGTACCCTGTTTCTTTTTTTCAAACTATGTTTGAAAAGCTTCACTAATTTAAAGAAATAGTGATTTCTTCTAGCAGATAACTGAAAAAAAGAAAGCTTTGGTATGTATATAACAATATAATTCTACTACTAAATCTTCATTTCAGAGATTTGCAGATTGATTAATTGATCATTGAATTAAAATTATATAAAGTTAATTTGAAGAAAAATATCCTGTTAGGAACAAACTATTATGTAAAATGTTGCCATTGTGACTTTGAACTATTTTACACCTAAATAATAGAGTCTTCATATTTTACAGATGAAAGTCCAAAAGCTGATAAGCCCAAAGCGGATGAGGAAGGTGATGAAAATGAAGAAGACAAAGACTATCACCGGAGTGACCCGCAGATTGCTATCTGCCTTGACTGTCTGCGCAACAACGGGCAGTCAGGGGATAATGTAGTAAAAGTGAGTAGTTAACACAAGCTGTGCTCTTATGGTTGTTGGAACAGTGTTTTACAGGAACCAAGTAAGTTCATAACAATTTACATTACATCTAAATAAGACATAATTGATGACTTGTCTCTACTTGCACAGTTATTTTGTCCTTTTGTTTGAGGCATTTCAAAGACTCTTGGAATCTTTATGAACTTCCATAGCATTACCTGTCTGTAACTGATATTTCTTTGGTCTGTTACACAGTCTGAATCTACAGACTTGATGAGGGATAACTGTGTATTATAGATCGCAGCACATCACAGAGGTGCTTGTAAAGCCAGCTGTAGGTGAGCTGCCTCCCGCTTCCAGAATTACTGTTTCTCCACGGCAGCACAAAGCTCTGCTTTTCAGAGAGTATGCACTGAATGGCTGCAGTCTGGGTCTTCTGACCTATAAATCTCATTCTGACACTCATTTATTGTCTGCAGTATGGCCGGGTCACTTTTTCACTCTGTAAAATGCGTAGAGTAGTACCTGTTCTTCTCTGTTTCTAGAATAGAAAGGGAGAAATAACTAAAATTAGGGATATTTTGTTTTCAGAAATTCCAAGAAGAATAACATCTGTTTGGCAACCAGTATTACTGACTCAGACGTTTAATTGTGGGGTTTTGTACGTTTTCTGTCCTTCTGAATCTTTTCTAAAAATTTTAGAAGTGGGGATGAGCTAAATGAACTTGTCATCTTTTAAATTTTAAATTTTAAAATTTTAAAAGTTTTAAATTCTGTAAAAATGAGTGAACAACAATGTACCTGTGGTGCAATTATGGATTAGAAGTAGAGAGTTCAGTAAAATTGGTTACTGTTTTCTTAAAAACAAACAAACAAAAAACTTATATTATTTACATACTATTACTCTAAAGTTCCCTGTTTGATTGATTGAGCTCCAAACTTTCTGACATGACGTTTCTGTTTTATTTTGGTTATTTTAGGGTTTAATGAAGAAATTCATCCGCTGTTCTACCCGAGTGACCGTGGGAACTATTAAAAAGTTTCTCAGCTTAAAATTAAAACTTCCAAGTTCTTACGAGGTACATATGAAAGAACCATGCCTTTACTTTTATGCCTGTGTAAAGTACTGTTTTTATGAAATCAATTAACACTTAAACTTGAAGCTTTTTTTTTTTTTTAAATCCCTATTACTCAGTCCAGTTTAAGATTCAGTTACATTTTTCCAAACTTTCTCAAACTTTAAATGAAAATTGTTCACTGGATGTCATTTGATCACAGTAACTGAAGTCATTAATTGAGCAATTCTTACAGTTCAAAATAACTTCAACTTGTTGCTCACCTGTGAAGGGACAGTTTTTGTTATTTTGATATAAAAATAAGTGCTTGCTATTTCCACATGGCTAATAGCACATGGTACTTAATACATATTTTGATCAGTAACTGTTGAGGAAAAGTAGGGAGAAGCTAGACATGCACAAAACAATGCTGCAAGTTTCATTTTCTGTAGGTAATATTAAAAAAAAAAAACACATAAACACATTCCAGTAATAATAATGAAGTGCAGTACCATTTGTATCTCCCAGAATGCTGGTACTGTTTCTCCACTTCTTTGGAATGAGGTGGAATTCGGCAGAAAGAGGGGAGGATCTTTGCTCCATCAGTGGTTTGATATTGGCAGAGAAACAAGGCCATTCCCTGGGGGCACTCACTAACGTGGTGCAGGTTGTGATGCAGGATGGAGCTGGAAGCCTGAGGCTCCTGCTTCTGCTTTCCCTCTCCCCAGGGATACAGGGATTTTGGCCACAGCACCAATGTTTTCTTAATCCATTGCCGATACCAGAACCCAGTGGCTTTGCAGGCTGCTTTGTGCAGACAACCTCTCAGCTCTGGTCAGAGATAGGGCTGACTTAGGCTAAGTGCCCAGGGTTATTGCAGAGCTACACACAGGGGTTTGTCACAGTGCAGGGTGACATCCCCACTGGACACTTCGCTGCCCTTTGGGTTTTGTATTAGGTTAGTTGATTCTGTCTCTGCCACCTTAATGACTCACTTTATGTAGTACCTGCTGAATTCAAAACTTTTTTTTTCCTTTTGACAATAGAGAACTCTTTCATTGTTATAGCAAAAATGCTTATCAGATGTTTTCAGTGGAGCATTACACAATTTAAACCAGTCATTTTTCATAGATTGTCATTTATTTTTCTTCTACCTCTAGTCCTCCAGTTAATGAAGAGGCATGTTGTATAACTAGAAACTCAGTGGCTCATTTATAATTTTAAATTTCTTTTTATTTATTTTTGAAAAGCTGAAAATTACAATGCTTTTATTTTGTATCCCTGCAATTGAAAATGTGTTGACGTAGCAAGAAGGCCTTTGAAGTACAATATAAGCCGTTCTCTTAAGTAGGTAAAGTGTAGGGTGCTTTCCTATCTAGTCTGGCAATTTTTTTTTTTTGCAGTCCACCTCCTCACTGAAAGCATGAAAGTGAACAAACAAAGTGGAAGACTACTGTAGAAAATTGCATTTTGTCATCTGTAGCGTTTATCAGGTTTTAGTACATCTGATTGGATTCTTGTATGATGATGGGAGTTCTGGGGTTAATTCTCAGAGAATTGGCTAAATGTTCTTCTAGTCATTAAAATTTTGCATGTTTGTTTTGGCTTAACTGTTTATTTTGTTGTATTTTAAGCTGGATGTACTATGCAATGGAGAAATCATGGGGAAGGATCATACTATGGAATTCATCTATATGACAAGATGGAGACTAAGAGGCGAAAACGTAAATGATATTATATTATTAATACATGATGTTTAGGTAGATTTATTATAGAACGTATACACGTTTTCCTGGGTTGACGCAAAACCTATCCTGTGGTCCTTCAAAGAACCCTATGTCTAAAAATGAATTTTGTGTATTTCCTGGATTTCTTAGGTTAGAAAGGATCTAGTGAAAGAAATGTTCCAGTGAATATATTGTGTAGAATCTGAAACTTCTAATTCAGAGTAGAATTGACATGTTAACTGTATTCTTGCTAATTTTAAGTCAAATATCTGAAAACCCAAGCATTTACCTATTGTCTGCAAATTTCCTTTCATTGACCCTTTGAGTTACACTAATTGGAGGAATCGGTATCCAGCCATTCTCTGCTAAAACCTACACTCAGAGTCTTTATCACAGTCATTCCGTAATAAGCTCGGACACTGAAAAAATAATCTGAGAAATCTATTATTGTTTCTCTTAATATTACACCCCTGGTTTTTAGATACGTTTTATAACAAAGCCAAACCTCCAGCTAATACAGCTAAATAGGTTTTCCATGTTGTATGTGTATGTTTTAGAATTGCAACATTTATCTCTTGGATCTAATAGTCGGTTGGATTTAACAGCCCTTGTATTACTTGGTGTGTTTTGCCTTTTTTGTTAGAAAGCATATCCTCATTTCCTCTTTCTTTGATGCCCTCATATGTTTGTTTGCTTGTGGCTGCTGATTGTTCTCAACCCTGAACTGCTTTGTGCTGTCTGCAGATACGTTGCCTGTCGCTGCCAGTGGAGGCTACATTGGAGAGCAGCAAATGTTAGGCACTTACCATATTTTAGCATGCTCATCTGTAGCAAATTGGAGACTTTCTCCACTCTAAGCTTTCTGGTACTCAAAATGAAAAGCACTGGGGCATGGACAGAGAAGACAAAGGATTAAGCACACTGTTGAGTTGGCAATTCAGAAGTTTCTTAAAGCTTTTTTTTTAAATCTGGGGAAAAAATAGTTTTTGATGGGAAATTAAAAGACTTATTTTGCATAGATGAGTATTTTCTATATTTGAAAGTAATATTTAAGTTTGAAAGTAAAACTCCTGATCAGATAAGTAAGCTATGTTTACATACAAATAATAGCATTAGATGTGTATCTTTTCCTTTAGGAGAAGTTTTACATCACTCCCCTAAACTCAAAGATGACAAAGTAAATCCTGTAACAAATTACATAGTACTGGTGATAAATCTAGTAATCTCTGGGCTTCTCTGATTTTGTTTCACCTGACTGAAGTGGGTGTTGTTATAAAACAGAAGTTAGTCAATAATCTCTTCTTTTGGAAGGAGATGATGCAGTAACACCACTATCTACATTTTGATGCTGTTCACCATGAACTTTTATCGGCACAGCTGTGGACCTTACAAAGTAGAATAGCTGAAGGAAAACATCCATTTATTCATTAGAAAACCCCTTTCAGTTTTAAATAAATAGATGAATTTTTAAATTTACAGTGGAAATTTACAAACAATGAAATGGTAAATGTATGTGTCCAGCTGTGGTTGCCTCTTATCTGATCAGAAAATCATCTCCTCCGCAGTTTCGGTGTCAGAACTGCTCATCTTCGCAAGTCTGCTCGCAGGATGGCACTTTTTATCAGGTAAGAGGCACTCACGACTGTACACATTACAGTCACTAAGGTCCCGCTAGCACTCACCTGCAATACAAGTTGGGGAATTTTTATGATTCCTCAAAGTGCTAAAACATTACAAGGGAGGTCTGCATGTTTTCGTTCATTGAGAGTAAGCTTTACTCCCTCAATGAATTGAATCCACTCAAATTTATCAGGTTTATGAGGTTTTGGGGTTTTTTTTGTTTTTTAACATAAGGCCATGTATCTTGTTGTGTCACTGTCCAGGCTGATTTCTGCATGAATCTGTAAGAATTACCCTAATCCTACTTATCCCTTTAATTGGTGTCATTAGTCAGTTACTGGCAAGGATCAAAACTGAAGAGTATGAATGGAAAAGACTGCTTCATTTTCATTTCATTGCTGCTTCTTTCATTTCTTTCATTGTTTCTTCTTTCTTGGCAATTCCAATGTTTTATTTAATGGAGTAAAGAAATCCTTTTTTTTTTTTCCAAAATTATGTTTTTTAAAAAAATATATTTAATTTATTTATACTTTTTTAGAAATTGAATAATAATTTATCTACATAGAGAGTGTAACAACCAAAACTTCCAGAACCTGCCAGCTGAAATTGGTCAGGCTAGTGTTTTGTTTCAACCCATTGGAAATAACTGTCCATTGAGAATTTTGATTGAACTAATTCATTTTAAAAGGCTGAAAAGGTGTTCCTGACTGTGTAAAAGATTGCAATTAATGATATAAAGTCACTCACACAGTGGGTTATACTTTGCAGTCATGCCTATTCAAATAATTATAATTATTCCAGCATCTTGCATTTTATTGCTAGAATTAATTTGTAATTTTGCTAAATAGCATTTAGACTTAATTTGCAAGAAAAGACTGAGCTGTGTTGATCTATCTGCTAAACTTTATGGAGGTGCCTGCCCTGTCTTTGCCTATCTGCAATTCCAGTTAGGATTGAGTATATTTGGAGGCAATTTATATAATCTAAGTGTTTGTTCTGAAGTATGAACCACAACTGAAGTAGGTTTTAAGTAATAATATGGTAGTCATATCCTATATAGGGGAAAAAACAGAGACAAAAATTATATTATATACAAGTATATGGTTATTAATTACATTTGCAAACTGCCCACAGTGATCCCTGTCTTCTCTCCTAAGAGCTCTTGCTGTTTTTGAAAACCTCTGGCTTTTATTTTAGTTTCTCTACACCCTGCTTTTTACATCTTCAGCGATCATGATCACTTTTAGTTCTGGCCTTCATTTACCTCTGATAGCAGGAAAGATCATTAACCTGTGTAAGAATCCACGGTACTGTCTTTCGGGGTGACAGAAGTTCATCCATATTGCATGTGAAGGATGGAGTAAAGTATTTCTGGTTTTAATGTTAACTTCTATAGTGATTTTTGGATATTTCTAGATTTACAGTAAAAAAGACTTGAAGTAGCTGTGGTTTTATTGTGGCCCTGTAGCTGACAGCCCGTATAAGCCTGTACAGTTACTGAGACAGTAAGATTTTCCTGGCTTTTATGCTATTAAAAAATGTGTAGGGTTCTTGAGGAACTAAGAGGAATGTGTCAGACTTATATGCAAATGCTTCAGATTGGAAAAATAAGTTTTAGTAAAACAGAACTTGTAGCAACACGTGCCAATATATTTCATCTCCCTTTCTGGAAAAACACTCTCGATTACCATTCCACACTACAGCTTTGTCCAATTCAGGGATCTGCCATTTTTTCCCAGTAGTTTACCATTGATTTGATTTGCCATTTTATATTTTTTTCCGATAAGAACTATTAAAATCTACCACGTTTTCTGGGAAAGTTAACTTTGTTTCTCAGAAGTCACATTTATAGCAATTTTATCCCCCCTTCTCTACCCCACCAAGTACATGTACTCATTAACTGCTGTTGAATATTAGTGTAGCTATGGAATTTCTGCACTTTTGAAATCAAAGTACATGTAAGAATGATTTTTTTGTTTTGGAAAGCGTAAATATTTCAAAATTGCTTTTTTCAAAATTACTTTTTCCCGGATACATGACAAATAAGAGACATTTTGAGCACTCAGTGTCATAAAGTCCGTAGAAGTCAGATATGGGAATTAGATTTTCATGACAGAAAATTACATCAAAGTTGCTTTATATTTGAAAGGCAGCTATTTAATTGTAGAAATGTAGAGAATCATTTCAGTCCAGTAAACAAAAGTGATTGCCCAATACATAAGCTCTACCTATCCTTAATGCAATCTTTAGTTGCATTTTTTGCAGACTTGTTATTAATTACATCTTCATGTTATCTCTGTGTGTTGTTGCTGTTTTTTCCTTTTGGTTTCAGTCTTACCCTATGGTACTTCAGTATCGACCTAGAATTGACTTCGGTTAGACCAAAGGGCCAGATCCCACTGAGATGAATCCTGCACTATTTGTTTACCCATCGACAGATTGCACAATGAATGGATGTGCCTGGATTAGGGGGACACAACCAGATTTTCAGCATGCAAATAAGAACATTGTCTTTCTTAAAATTGTCAGTTGCATCTTCGTTGTTTCTATTAGAGCAAGCCAAGTGCCATTCTGCTACTGAAATGTGCATAAGATATTTGTGGCTCTTAAAAGTGTGCTGCAAGTCATAGCCAAAATCATGAGGTGTACGGTCAAGATTCAGAACTTACGGAAAATTTTTGCCTGCGTATTAGAAGTTTTTTTTCTGGTCCTAATATTGATTACATTAGCAAAATGGCAGAGTGCTCATTTCATGTGGTGTTGCAGTTTTCACATACTTACTATTTTACTGAATATTGTTGTTTAAATCATAGAGTACTGTACAAATAGCTAAGGATTATACCTTGAAAATATTTTGTATAGAAAATATATTTAGAAAAGTGGTAATTGGGCCACTGTCTTTTTCTTGATAAGCTTCTCATGGGTCCAGGTATAGCTCTCTCATGAGTGTGCAACAGTCCTTTGCAGCAAACACATCTCTTGCTAGGGGTGATCTTTATCATGTGGTAAATCCAAAAAGTCATTTTCAAAATATCATAGCCTTTCTGGTAGCACTTTTCTGTGATTTCCGTGAAGACTGGAATTTGAGATACAGCTAATAGAAAGTTTCTGGTCAGATTACCTTTCTCCTAACAAAGACTTTGTAAATTAAGTTAAAATTATTTAAATTGCTATAAAACAAATTTCACTGTAAAATCACAACCAGGGCAGAATTTATACATAATTACTGTTTCTCATAATAAGAATATCCTTTTAAGATTGGGTGGAGATAAATTATATGTTAAGAAAAGGCAAAATATTACAAAACCTGTGACTTTAACTAGATCATAGATCTCTTGCGACTGTCTGGAGTTTGGAGTCAACTGTGGGATGTTTCATTCACTGAAGTCACATCATAAAGCCTGCGCCATAAAATTAGAGGTAATGCAATACTGAAGATGAGCAGTCTCACCAAAATAATAGTTCAGGTTGTTGTTTTTCCAAAGATCTGGTAATGCTGGATGAACCAGGGGATTGTTGCCTTAGGTACTGCGAGCACGAGGGTGCTAGGAGAGGATGTTTGTGGAGGTTTCTGGTAATGTTGCAGGGAGCATAGTAATGCAGAGGTTTTCTGTAGTCTGCCATTGTCTTTGCTCTGTTTAAAAGTCTTTCTGTTTTTTTGTTTTGTTTTCTTTAAATTCTGTGGAGATATTAATAGTTCAGTACTTCCGTGTAATTTCTACTTAATACACACCTACTCATCCTGTAGGTAACTATTTACTTTCTTATACTTTTTGCATACAACAAAAAGGAACCAATTGACCTTCTCAGAAGCTACTCTAGAGAACATGTTTAGATAAGACAAAGTGAAAATCCTAACTTGAAAACTTGGGATCAAAGCATAAAAGATGGATACGAGGCTGTAGCTTTATATTCTTGTGCATTATGTCTTTCAATAGGAGAAACAAGCATGTTATGGGTAGAATCTGGCCCCTTTAGTGTTAGTGGGAGTTCTCACATTGGTGACTTCAGGCATCCATAGGTAGTTGGGCTAAATCCTACCATTGCACTCCCAGGTCCGCAAGACATGCAGAAATAAAGCTGCTGTCAGTAGCAGCCAGTTTAGGAACCCAGCCGCTGCAGGTGGAGGCTGCACATGTTGTGCAGGCACCAGTGAGCCTGGGGAAGCAAAATGTTTAGGAGCTGCTGTTCCTTTCTGCAGGCATAAGGTGCAGGCTGGTACAGGCACTCAGCTACCCCAGCCCTTGATGGGAATAAGTGCACGTACTGGCCGCAGGAAGGGGTCACCTTTTTGCCCCTCCAGGCTGGCATGTGCTGCTTGGCACAAACAACAAGAGACTTCGTGGAGGGAGGGCCTTTCTCCTCACCGTCTCTGGGAAGAACAGATTCCTTACAAGCAAGGAGGCTTTCCCTGTGGAGCAGCTTGTAAGATCAGAGCGTGCATTCTAATCTATAATTGCAAATCCTGTTATCTTTGAACATAATTGAATTTGCTGGAGAAATAGGATGTTATTTGTAAATATTTATGTGCACATGCAAATGACACCTTACAGTTTTTATATATTTCACATGTTTTTGTATCAGAATTTTCACTATAGCTCCACTTAAAAAAAAAAAAAAGTGTGAGTTTATCACTAATGGTAGTGCTCTTCAGCAGAGTTTTTACTTGGTTCAGGGGACTATTTTTCCTTCTCAACAATTGCATTTGTTATTCCATCGAATTTGAAAAGAAGGGAAGAAGGGGAGAAAAACGTGTGTTACTTCTAATGCATTTTCAGTCACCTTATATGCAAGTTTGCATCCACCTAACAAGTTCATTGAAATTGGACTGTTTGGTAATGGCTTCTGAATGACAGCCCTTGAAGGTTTGAATGCTTTTGACTTTTTGCATTCTCAGTTCAGAGAGCCATTGATTTGTGTTAATCAGAATTGGCAATTGTTTTAAATCATGGTACCTTCTTGATCCACCTTAAAGCTAAATTTCAGAAGGTAGAACCTCATTTTAAGCATGTAAAATACTGACATGGTTTCCCATTCCTAGCTGAAAATCATGGCCTTAAATGCTTTTCAATGCATATGATCTAGCTACCTAAACTTTATACCTTTCTGGTTTGATGGCTCAGTGCCCCAGTGCTCTTCTAGTTTCATGGATTTTGTAGTTTGAAGCCGAAGTGTCAGTGAAATGCACACCTTAACTGACCAGCCTGTATAACACCCAGCCATTGCTTCTTTTTCAGGAAACCTCTGTGTAGTATGTATGTGCCATCTGTCTACAGATATGCATATTTGACTATCCCTGTTGATTCCTTTGTGCCAATTAAAAATATATGAACAGTACAGGAATATGAGAATGCAGGTACGGATTCCAGTGTGCCAAAGATGATTTAAAGTGAAGTGAGTACCTAAGCATTCCATTAAATACTATGTAGCTTCATAGAGCACGAGGTTACAGTCACTCTCTGAATATTTCCATGATAAAGTGTCACTGCTGCATAGTAAGCAAAGAATTGGAAAATAAGTATTCCTACAACTGTTTTTCTGTAGCTTTTCCTATTTGACAGTGCCTAGCTACAACAGTATAGGGCCTAAGAAGTTCTGCACTAGTACTTAACCATTCATTCTCTCACTCAGCAGATTTGGTGTTGTTGTTTTCTCCCATAGGCCAGTAATTTGTGTCTTCCTTTAGCTCTGGGTAACCCCTTAATGAAAGTCAAAACCAACCATTTGTTGGGCCTAACAGTATGCTGCATTTCTCTACTGACAAGCTGTAAGCTAGGATGTACAAATGGGGTCTCTTAAAAGCTGGAACTGTGTAATCATAATCAAGACCTTTATCTGCTGTCTAAGGACAAAGCCCTATAAACATACTTGAGTGAAATATTAAGTAAGGCTACTGTGGTAACCTAAGGGACTATTGGTGCAGCAGGGGTGGTTCCCGTGAATGCTTTGGGATTTAGGCCCTGGCAGTGTGCAGCACTATAACCATAATGCACATACTCAGCTAGCTTGTGGTTTGTATGCAAAAAAACCTCCTTATTCTTTTCTGAAAAATACTATTTTGGCTTTATTGAAAATGTTACATAAAGCAAAGTGCCTGATTGTTAATACAGAATTCTTTTAAAACCCATTATTTGTTTCTGGCAGGTAATATTTTCTGCTGCATTTTATCAATAGTCCTAATATTTTTCTGCAAGACTATTTCATAATAATTCTGTAGTGAGAAGCAATCTTTCCTATGAAACAAACAGAAAAAGAAATATGTTTGGTTAGATTATATGAAATTGAAGAAACATATCTTAGTGGAAACTGTGATAAGCATTAGTTATATTGAGATGCAACCATTTTTCTTCATAAGGTAACCATGAATTATGGATCTTGATCTTTTCTCTCTGGACTTTAAAAATTTGACTCTACTTTCCTCTTCTGCAGTCAGCAGAGGCAGTTCCAGTGTATCTGTACTAGAAAAAAAGATTGATTGCATTCCTTATAGTTGTATGCAATAATCAAACTTTATCTCTGAAAAGACCAAAGGCAGTTAAGACTCTGTTCCTCCCTGTAGCACTGCAGAGGTGCTTAGGCATTACAGAGCTGCTTAAATCAGGAAGTTGGTCTAACTTTTTCACATAACTTTAGTTGAAGGCATCAGTTTAAATCTATCAAAATATGTGGTTATCAGGCAGGGTACTCCCCACGTAATTAGACCTTTTTCTACCTTATTATTTACATCACTTGAAAAATTTGTTCAGGCTCCCTGTAATTCTAGGTTCATATAAAAGCTTTGTGCTCTCCCTCTACCCCCTTCTCATGCCCAACAAAATCAAACATCTAGTTAGTTTTGAAAGAGAAATTGCACAGCAGGAAGTGGATCCGAATCAGATGGTGTCATGGCCATGACATCTATAAACAGACATTGGAAAGTTAATGCCCAAGGAATTTGTTTTTTTTTTTTTTTTTTTTTTTTTTGAGGGAGCGGAGTGGGGGGGAAATAAGCTAATCTGTCCAGTATTCCAGTGAAGTTTTCGTGGTTCTGCGTATTGAATCCTTCTTAGTCCCTTGGAACACAGTAATGCTTCCACAAGTGCTCAGCTCAAGGTGCCTGTTTGAGGAGGGAATGTGTCTCCTGGAGCACGTTCCAGGGTGCATGCAGAGGGCCTGACCTGCCGTAAAGGAAGCATGAAAAGCTTCCAAGTGCTCATTTACCACTAGTTTTATGAATGAGGACGATTTGACCTTCACACCTTCTCTGAACGTATCAGTCGTGTTTCTTTATCAGCAAATAGTTTGTTTTAAACTACTATACTGCCTGTGTTACAGATCAGGAAAAAAAAAAACATCAGAATCTAAAACAGGACATAGGAACATGAATTTCTGAGGTGCTTCCTCCCAGGGTGTGCAGCAGAAGTCCTGTAGTGAGGTCTGAGTTCAGGCAGCTTGGCCATACAGTTGAATGCAGACCCCATTATCTCGTTATCAACTTAGTACATCCATGCGCTTGTGGGGTGTGAAGTGGAAGGGCTCTGTGGACTGATGGAAAAGTCCAGGCTACTCCTTGTACTTGCAGAAAGAGACTCAGTTCTGTAGGGTCAGGATGGATGAGACCTTCTGGAATGAGAGATGTTCTAGAGGTGGAAGTTTTTGCAGTTTTAGTTGAAGAGAGGCATTAGTTTGAATTTGCATGTTGATCCGAACCATCAAACGTTCTTTTCTTTGAAGTAATTTTTATGTGTGTTTATAGCAAGTGCTTCTAACGAAGTTTAACAATGTGTAACAGATGACGGGATGAGATAGACGAGTAACTCTTGTGTGTTTCCTTTTCCTCACGAAGACAAGTGGAAGGCAAGATGAGAGTTGAGCATTTGGCTGCTCTGTAGTGTCCCAACTGCTGCAACAGTAAAACATTTGTGCTGCTACTTACAAATGAAGTTGTGATGAAGATGTTTATTATCCAAGTGTGAGGCACATATTTTATGATGGTATTCTGTTCCTAAAGTAGTGTTTTGTAGTATAGCATATTGAGTGAAGTAGATGATGATGATTGATAAATCCTGATGTGGTAGAATGAGACGTGCTCCCTTTTTACTGAAGACTATAACATACTAACTGACTTAAAATTACTGTTTCTTGTTATCAGATATTTAGCTTGTTCATTAAAAAAATGTTTTCTAAAAATAAACTATTTTTATTGAAAATCTCATTGCCTAATAGATTTAAGAGATGTATATAATACCAAAGGTATGCCACCCAGAAGCTGGCTTGGATTAAGGCATTGATCCTTTCCTGGAGGGCAGTGGTTCAGAGTTACACCTGGAATCAGTCGAGAAGTTCCAGGTAGTAGCTGTATATGTCACCAAACTGAAGGGTTAGGCACACCTAGCAGCTTCCAAAATAAACTTGATTAAAACAAATAAAAATAGTTTAAAAAAATGTAGGAAAAAAAAAAAAAGACTAACATGGTTGAACTAACAGGCATAGAGCAGCTCTTTGAATCATAGCTAATGTCATTAAAAAAGAGAAGCACAAAGGCTTGCATTACTGATGTGTCTGCTATACCTGACCTGTTAACTAGTGTAGAACTTCAGTGTGCTGTCAATCCCATAGACCTTCCAAAGCACAAAATATTCACCAAGCTACTTTGGGTTTTCTAGTTGTAGTGCAGTGATATTTTGGAGGGTGGAAAGGACAGACTTGGAGGATTATGAGAAGATAAGTATGTTTTACAGATTTTTATAGATATTTTTTTAGCAAGTGGCATTGCTGTCCAAGATGTCAGAGATTAGCAAAAAGTCGATTATTTTACTTGTGCAGTGTAAAATAGAAAACAAAATTCAGTAAATATCTTGATTTCCAGTATAGTGATTAGCCTACATGGAAAAACAGTTTAATTATTTAGCTGGCTCTGAAATATTTCATTTTAAAAGATTACTGATTTCATTTTTTTCTCAAATATAAGCTTCTTAGAATAAACATTAAGCAATGCATATTTTTTCCCATATTGCAGGCTTAACTGTTGAAAGGAAAATACTTTGCCTTTTTTTTTTTTTAGTTAATTAATGCAAAGCCTGAATTGTTAGATGTTCCAGCCTACTGAATAGATGATATAGAGTTACTATAAGAGGTTTTTTTTCAGATGGGGGCCTAAGTGTCCTTATATAAGCTGTGATCCAAGTTATGATAAGAAAGGAGCCTATGGTGAGCAGTAATAATGTTCTGATGCTTCCTTGCATTTGATGAGTAGCTAGCAGTTTTTAATGTAACAGCCCTCACAGTACTTAGGAGCTCATAGGACATATTGTGATGTTATGTTGCTAACTTGTTTTAAAATATAAAATGTTTTAAGCTTTTTGTCAAAAGTGATAACATCATATTACAAATAAACCTTTTTGTGGTTGTAAAATTTAGCTTATAAATCATTCAAATTGAAGTGAAAAAAATAAAAACACAGGTCATTGTTAATGACAGTCTATCCTATTAAGAATATATGTATTTTTGTAAAGGAAAAGCACTTGTAGATATGTAATCAGTCCAATATCTATCTATGTTAATCTTTTGGAAAAAAAATGCTGCTTAGAGAATCACATGTTTTTATTTTTGTGCTCAATGCATTTTCTCTTGATTTATGGAATGTTTATTCTGTATGAAGCTGTATAATTAGTACAGCTGGGCTAAATGCATTTCTTACCCAAACTTAACCAAATATATTTGACTCTGCTATTGCATTTCCCGTCTGATCAGAAATCTTATGGCAAAACTTAAATTGGTGGTGCTGTTTTTCATCTTTGATATTAGCTTAATCCCGCCTTACAGCATTTCTACTTACGATATTTGTTATAGAAAGTACTAATAATTTTTTGTGAGATTTGTGCTTTAATGGATATTTTAGGATATGTTTAGTTACTTATTTGCATCTTGACAAACATTGACAAGTTTTACATAAAATACTTAAAAATGAAGTTTCCACGACAAAAGTTATATGAGATGAGTCAAGTTTGATGCTTACCTTCCTCCCAAATAGCCTGCTGCTGGGCACATGCATGGAATATGATTGCACTGCAAGTTTTGATTAAACGAGCATTTTAACAAAGTGTTTCTTTAATTCAGAATAACTTAGTAACGCAGTATATTTTGTTTAAGAACTGGCAAAGAGAGTTGGCCACATTAGTTTGTAGTAGCTCATGTATAGCTCATACTTCTCTTTATTTCAGTGGGATTCTATGGGGAGCTATTGAGGGGACCTAAAACTGAGCTAATGTCTTCAGACTGATCTCTGTGAAGATGCTTTGTTTAATTATCCTTGCTATATGACTTGAAAGGAGCTAGAGTTCCCACTTCCTCACTGAGTTTCGCTTCGCGTGTGACTTTTTCAATCTCTTAACAATGTTTAAATTTAACGTTACTGTATTAACCTATTTTGAAACCTTTGATTGTCTATCCTAGCACTAGATTCAGTGTTATAAGCTCAACTGAGTAAATACTGACCTAACTGTCAAGTAGTGAGAGAATTTCACTCGGACTTTGCATCCTTGTAATGCCACTGTCTCGTTAATATGCATGCTTTTCAAAAATCTTTAAGTGATAACTTTTTAATGTGTTAAATGATTTGAATATTGTGCATTTTCACAATGTTTTCTTAGGACAATTTATATATGAATTCATTGGGAGCTTAACATCTCAGGGTCCGCAAAGTAGCATTTAAAACCTGAAATCCATTGAGCTATAAATACAACAGACATATGTTGCAGTTTTATATCCTTAAAAGAACCAAATATGTTGTGTTGTGAAGTGTTTTATCAAGCACTGTAAATTCCACCGAGTTCTGCCAAAGGAATCCCTTTTTTTTTTCACCTGTGTTAAAACTCTTACAAGTTGAGTGTGGTTCTGGAACAAGGAGAAACCTGTGAGTGAGTTATCACTAGTGAGCGATGCTGCAGCGCGGCTGGTGAGGTGCCAGTGATCGCTTTCCTTTCAGCAAAAGCCCTTGGTACTGCATTTTGGTGCAAAGTGAAGTGAGCCTGTTTAAAGTTACATCTGTATCCGTAAACAAGGTTTATTTCATGACAGTAGCTCGTGTGAACCCTGTAAATGGACCTTATCTTGTGTACTGAATATATTCGCTATGTAATGATATTTCTAATTCTGTAACTATCTGTATGGTTCAGTACCAGTGATGTTATATTGAGTGCTTCATGCTAATGTCAAGAATGTTCACAGCACCTTCATAACTGCTGATAAGAAGCTACTCTTTGGTATGATCTACATGCTGCAAGATGCTCTAGCCCAGTTGGATTAATCTTACAAATCTAGATGAGCAAGAAGTATAACTAATCTGCTTACTAGCACTGAATTGCTCCTTTCTCAAAGCAATAAATATATTCATGTTGTAACATCTATTGTGCAGCCTACAATACAAGTTGTTTTGTTGCATTGTTTCTATATAATTTATTTTGTGCAATAAAAAGATCTCTGGTTTTATCTGACTCTTCTCTTATTTGTAGTAATATTTGAGTTACCACATTTACTACTGTTAGGTCTTACCATGCAGTCATACTGTCAACTCACAGAGGTGCAGATTTGAGAATGGAATACAGTAATATTATGTCTTACAGAACGATCAGAATGTACTTGCATGGCTTAAGTTTGCTCTCATTAACATCCTAGGGAGTGCTACCCTTGATTTGTATGAGCACAAAGCCTCCCTGGCACAAAGGTGC